AGAGATTATGGAATTAGGGACATAAATAAAATCCTGCTGAAAGAGCTGGAATTTTACTTAAACAACTTAACCAAAGCAATCTCTAGCCTAGTACAGTGGGGACTGATTTCTTTGTAATATTAGATGTAATAAAGATAAAAATTTTTCCAGTTCAATGAGAGTGACCGAAAAGTTGTAAATTTTGGAAATTTCTGAGGACACTTGATCCTAAAACGAATTAGTTAGAAAACAAATGACTATTAAGTTTAACATATTCAGATTTTTACAGCTATGATGAGAAACGTTTAAAATCTACACTCCCTGTCACGTCCTTTGAGATATACTAGTGATGCGACCAGTGGTGATATTCGAAATATTTAACAAAGGGTTCGCTAACAGAAACTTTTTCCTTAACAATTTTTTTTCGCTCAAATGGTGCATTAGCAACATTAGTGCAAAAACTGACTTTAAGATACCCATATAAATAAAAAAGATGCGTTCGCAAAATTAAGTCAGTTAAAATTTAACATTTTTTATGCCAGAACTATATTCTTTTTTTCTTGATAAATAATAATAACGAGTGTTCAAAATGGTTTATTTTGTACATATTTTATTATGACACATGTTCCGCAGCCATCTTGCATTTTCTCGCGCGCGTGGGATTGTGGGATCTCTCTTATGCTGGGGTTGTATTCTGGTCACCGGCTTGTCTCTCATAAGCCGGTCGCTGATTGGCTAATCCAAATTAGAGACCGTCTTGTGAGAGACAAGAGACCAGAGACGGTGACCAGAATATGACCCCTGGATCTAGTTTCAACAACTCTCGAGTCGCCCGCGATTGAACCTCGTTCCAATCGAGATTGAAACGGTCGAGCACCAAGGCGAATGGAGTATAAGGCTCTAGTTTAGTAGTGTTACAGAGTATAATACGTATATTTTAATATATTTTTTAAAAGAAACAAAACCACTGAGAAATGTTACGTGTGTTTAACAAGGTTTGGAAAACTTTGAAAATGTTAACAACGGGTTCGGCCGAACCTGTGCGAACCTGCTGAATATCACCACTGGATGCAACAAAAGAGGCATTTAACATTAACTGGATACTGGTTAATGTATCAGCACCCTCGGGATTTGGCATGCATGCATGCACGCACTGTACACCTATCAAGATCATCTATGATTCCATCCATTAGCCACTCGTAGGGAGCAATTTTAACTAAGTGGATTGTTTTAATATTTAAAAAGTAAAGAATATTTTATGTTATTTTTATGTACGTTTCTTCACAGAACTATATTTAATTATAATTTTCTTTAAAAGTATATTCATACAATTGAAGAATATTTTGTACCAGGTATGTATAATTGTATATCCATCACACATTTTATTTCATAAAGTAAGTTTTAATAATTTTATTTTTAATTTTAGCCCTTTTATCATGGCTAGCAATTTAGAATGTAATTGTGATATTGAAAATTTATTTTAAAAAGTTTTGGCTCAAGACCATATAATGGAAAAGAAAACATTATTAAAAGAGAAAGACCAATGCCTAAATTAAATGTAAATATGTCAACAAAAAAATCTGTTCGACATTTTTACAATAAAATTTATGAAGATAATTGGCTTTGTGGATGCATAGAAATGCAAAAATTGTTTTGTTGGCTTTGCCTACTATTTCCAAATAAAATTAGTGTGTGGAATAAGAATGGCTTTGATGATTTAAATAATTTTAATAAAGCTGGCAAAAGACACGAAAATCGTAAATGTCACATCGATTCTTTCGTACAATTGAAGCAATTTAGAAATCAAAGCAGAATAGAATATAAAATTAGTAAACAATATAAAATAAATATTGAAAATTATAACAAAATAATTACGGCTAATAGATATATTATATCTAGATTAATAAATGTTATATGTTTTTTTCTCAAAGCAAGAATTGGTATTTAGAGAGCATAGGGAATCTATTGAATCTAATAACAGTGGTAATTATATTGAACTTGTTTATTTATTAAGTAAATCAGATAATCTATTAAAAATACATTTAAAGAAGTGTATGGTTTCTACTTATCGAACAAACGAATATGAATGGACCCTGATGCACAATTAACTGATTGCCCCTGTAAGTCAGCTTTTTATAGAAACAGCTTTCTTATCATCAAACGTCACGGCACACCACTGCTATATTGTGAGTAAATATATTCAATTTTAAAATTAATCATCATAATAAATAGGAGTAATAAATTAAATATAATTGTATTATATCTAAAAAGCTATTTCAAAATAATAATACAAGATCAGTATTTTTGCTCTAAATAACAAAAATGTAACTCATTATTAGTATTCAAATGCTTTTTGATTTGTTACTACTTAAATTGTCCTCAGGACCAAAAATTCAAATTAGAATAGAACAAGTAAAATGGCAAAGCTGTATTTGGAACAAGACTATGTCTCAGAGACTCACTACTAAGCGTAATCACTTTGACGCTCAAAGCAGGTCTCGTTCTCATTCTCCAATCTTCTTTGGTATTGCTGCTTTTGGGTGCGATTGTTCAAACTTCACTGGGCATGACCACAAGGTTGTCCACGATGTATTTTCAATGAAATTAACCTATCCAATTTTGAAATTTCTCTACGTTGCATGTCGGCCCAGGTTGAATTTTTTCGATGCATAATGAAAATTTCCCGTTTTTGAAAAAAATAATCATGGCTATTGTATCATCTGAAATTATTTTTTTATTTTGCACAAACAATATACAGTTTAATCCGATTATAACATCAGATCTAACGACAACCCTAATATAACATCAAATTTTTATTGGTTCCACAATTTTACTATACTAGATAATGTTAAAAAACCGTTTTAACATAAAAAACCGTAACGACATAAAACCGTTTTAACGTCATATTTGAAGCACTCCCAAATTTACAAAATTAGATTACAAATTTTATTTAACATAGAAGAAACTACGTGTTCAGTCCTAAGGTCAGAGTTCACTTCTTAGAATGAATGTGAGTGGTACTCTCCCCACCTGACTTCGGTGGGGTGAGGTGCCTGTTTTGCCTGTTTGTAGAAGAGGGTCGCCATTTTGTATTTTATTTTGACTCGGTTCTCGGTCCCCTGACTACCTACAAGTCTGGATTTTTTATGCACAAATGATTTGGTGCCAAATATCAACTCTCTACATGTACTCCTTCATACCTGTATGCTGGTAACATAAAACAGCAGTACAATTTTATAAACAAGACATAGTCTTGTCAATAAATATACTGTACATATAAAACATTAAATTTTAAAATAATTTGAAAAACAAAGTTTTTAACATATATAAAAAGTTATTAATTAATAAATAACAACAAATTTTAAAAATAAAAAGTAACTAAAATAAAAATAGATGATGATTTAACTATTTTTATTTTGGTTCAATTTTTTAAAAAGCCAGTAATGCATTGCTTAACTTTCCTGGCAAGAGTTAAAATTGAGTTTAAATTTAAAAATGGCATCTTCTGTTATGAGATTTTATTTTAAAATCTTTTTATATTATTAATTATTATAAAATGGCAAAAACATTAATTTTGAAGATAGAGATGAATTTTATAAAAAAAAATTGTAAATGTTAATAATGTGTCAATTCTAGAGTAAATAGAGATTCATGTGTCATATCTTGAGTAGGATTGAATTTAATAATTTCTTGAATAGGATTCAAAGATTTCAAGATATGACACATGAATCTCTATCTCCTCACTCTCTTGACCACCAAAATTTAATAGCATCAATCCCCCTAATACACAGGTACAGGAGTTATTAAGCTTCAAAGTGAGTGAACAAAATCATTCCTCCCTCACACACACACTAATTTCCATACATACAAAAGTCCCCCAAATTTTTTTAAATTTCTCGACATTTCAAGGCCCTGAGCCCAGAAATGTAAAAAATCTTGGAGGGATCATTTTTTGACTGAATGCCATACTTTCCCTCTCATATATAAGAGCCAGGAAAGTAAAAATTTGTCTTCAGAGTAAAACAAAGTTTAGCTGAAAAATGCTTTTTTACTGATATCTTACTGAATGTCTTTCCTATTTCATAATCCAGATTAACTCTTAAATCCATTTAAAATAATAACTACAAAATGAGAACAGGAAAAATAAAGTTTCTTTGTGTTACTGTGTTTAGAAATCACAAAGAATTTGAATTGGAGTAAGAAGTTAAAAATAAATAATCCACACCTTCTGAATGTGATTCAGAAGGTTGTGGATTATTTATCCAATAAATTCAAAAAAATAGAACTTTTTGAATGTTTTTCATTTATTGGATATATGTTGTATCTAATTACAATCCTCTATAAAATGATCAGTTTTGAAGATCATAAATTAATTTTTCTTGTTTCACTGGCCATTTTATATTTAAATTAAAAATTAACAGCTTTAATAGTTTGAACACTTTCACACTGGACTTACTGTGTAACACATCTCAAAAACTCTGGGTGCCCAGTGACAAAATTCACAGGTAAACAAATGTTTACAGGCTTCTTCTGAGCTCTGCTTCAAGTTTGCTGCTTTCCTTTAAATGGAATGTGAATTGAAACTAATGTTTGAATTCAAATTTAAAACACTATGTGGTTCAACAGTTATATGAACTGGTAAAATGTGCATCATTTCTTATTCAAGAAAAATAAATCTTATATCTTTGGCAATCAATGTGCAATCTTGCACTATCTATGGAAAGTCAACCAATCAATACAGCCAACTGAATTATGTAATGATGCATGTTTTACCACTTCATATGTTTGTTGAACCACAGTGTTTTAAATTTGAATTCAAAGCTTCAACTCATGTTCCATTTAAAGGAAAGCAGCAAACCTGAAACAGAGCTCAGAAGGAGACCAAAAATGTTTGTTTATCCATGAGTTTTGTTGCTGGGCACTTGGATGTTTTTGACATGTGTTTAACAGCTTTATGCTAAAATATATATTTTCAGGAACATTAATCTTTCTAACTTGATGATTGAATAAGAAACACTTACTTTTGACATCATTTCAGACAAAAATGATTGACCTCCAAAACCTGGTTCCACTGTCATAATAAGAATCATGTCTACATGTTCCACCAAAGGTAATAATTCCTCAACAGATGTTGCTGGTTTTAAACCAACACCAACCTGCAAATAAAAATTTTTTTGTTAAAAATTTTTACAAATGTATATTAAGTGCTAATTTTTCTGAATGTTTTACATAAATAGCAGAAAACTTTTTCTAGGAGAATTTCTCTTTATACTTCAAGAATTTTGATTATTGTTTGGAATAAATACATAAACTCAAATAAAAAATAAAAACAAATCAATAAATAAATAAATATATATATATACATACACACACACACTATAGTTAAACTATGAAAGCACTTTCTGTAAAATAAATACTAACATAATCCAATTTGAATGTGTTTATAACTTTAAAATCATGTATACTAATTGACAGTAATGTGCATCATTTATAACATTTTTTTTCCTATTCGTCATTCAGATTTTGATGCCTTCATTTTCTGAACTATATAATAATATATAATAAAATCAATGGATTAAAAAAGAAATACAAGTACATTTTGCAATGCAGATTCAAAATTGTCTTTAATATGAAATATTTATGATAAACATTTCTATTATCAATTTGATTTGAGAATACATCATATTTCATAATCATGTGCAAACTTTATGAACTCTAACATCAGCTGCTTTCTACAAGTAATAAATCAACTCTCAAAGTAAACAAATGAAATATTTTGTTTAATTTGAAAGTTGTTCTATTAAATAACAGTTGATGCTAAACTGAGAGGTTTAGAATTGAAAATATTTCTGACAGAATAAATTAACAATTTGTTATTACCAAATGATCTGCCAGATTATCAATCAGGCTATATTAAGGCTAATAACTAATTAAATAACAAATCAATTTATTTAGAGGTAAGCAGTTGTTTATTATGTATAAATGAATAATTTTTATACATTAGTCTATTTTTATATTAATTAATTTGCTTATTTTTTATAGTAATTTCTATTTTTTTGAAATCTCTCCTCTGAAATTGATTGCATAGTAATTTTGCTACATAATATTGGGTTCAGAAATTTCTTAGCTTTTTTGATAAATAGCACTATTAACAGTTTTGTCTGATTTTTCATATGCTTTTTATGGTTCTTTCACCCAAGTGTGTCATTTCTAAGCATCATTTGAAAGAGAAAGCATAGAAATTGGTTGTGTTTTTTAACAACAGTTAAAAGATGGAGGGCAAGAAAGTTCATCACCAACATTTAATGCTTTTCTATTATCACAAGGATAAAAATGCTTCTCAGATCCAAAAACAGATATGTGCTGTTTATGGAGATGATGCTGTTGGTGCAAGCATGGTATGTACCGTGGTTTCTCATTTCAAAGCCTATAATTTTTCTCTGAAAGATGGATGCAGAGTGCTCTTGTAGACCATTTGTTGTTGATAATGATCAGATAAAATCATTAGTCAATAATAATCCATGTTACAGTACTCAAGAGATTGCCAAAATCCTAAAAATATCAAGCAGTGCCTTTATGAACATTTGAAATGTCTTGGTTACATCAGTTGCTGTGATGTTTGGGTACCACAACTTAACAGAAAAACATTTGATGGACCATGGTCTCACTATGTGATTTGATCTTAAAATGCAAAATGACTCATTTTTGAAGTGGATAATTACAGGATACTAAAAGTGGATTCTGTACAAAAATATTGAATGAAAAAGATTTTGGGGAACATGAAATGAGCTATCACTATCCACTCCAAAAGCCATCCAAAGTAAGTTATACTGATAATTTGATGAGATTGTTTATTATGAACTTCCGGAAAATAATTAAACACTTAATTCAAACAAATATTGCTCCCAGTTAGATTGATTAAATGAGGCAATTAAACGTATGCCCAGAATTGATCAACAGGAAAGATGTCATTTTTCAACAAGACAATTCTGGGTTGCATGTGTCTATGAGGAGTTGGCAAAAGTTTACTTGACCTTGGACGGAAGGCTTTATCCACTCACTCTATTCATCAGATGTATCACTGTCCAATTACCATTTGTTTCAGTCTTTACTAAACTTCTTTAATGAAAAAACCATTTCAAAAATTTGTTACAAAAAATAAAATGTTTCACATAAAAGAGATCATGAAGCTACCTGATAGATGGCAAAAAGTTATTGAAACAAATAGTGTATATATCTATATATATAAAAATGAATGTATGTTGTCTGTCTGTATGTCCTTCATGCATTACCACACCGTTTATCTGATTGCCATGAAACTTTGGGAAGATTTTTAATACACTCCCTCGAAGGTTTCTGGCATAATACATTTATCCTACGATAGATGGCGCGAGTGTATATGAGCATTTCATCGTGAGTTCAATTGATTTCAAATTGTGAAGACCATTTCCCTCTTCCAAAAAATATCTCTATGTATACATTTGTGAACTGTTATTTATGATATTTGTAATAATTTTTGTTTAATCACTTTATTTCAACTATTTTTTGCTAGTTATGTATTCTCTCGAACTTTGTTAAAACCTTAACTGTATCCCGAACAACAACCAAAGTTGTAGGAGGAAATTCGCTTATTTACCAATCTAGGAATCCCCCTTTTCCAAATAATATCAACTCAAAATAATTTAAAAAGACAAATTACAATAAAACGGTTTATTATCCAACTATCAGAAATTTCACAACATGTCAAGGAAGAGAGGAAGGAGCAATTAAATAATTAAAATTGTAAAGGATTAAAAAATATATATAAAAATGGGGAATATCGCACTTCTGACAATCGCTGCAAGTGTGTGGGCTAGATTTGGAGAATCCGTGCTTCTCACATGGACAACTGTATGTGGCCAGCTCATGCGTCAGAAAACTTCTGATTTATTTGTGTACACACCAGACGAAAAAACAAAAAATATTGTGTATCCACAAGCACTCCAATAAATAAACAGAATTGAAACGACATTTTGAAATATTTTCCCAATGAAAATGAATAATAATAAGTTTCAATAAAAATGATAAAATGTAAATTGAATTTTATTATAACAAGTTTGCTTGAATTTTGTTTCTTCTGAGATCGCAGCAATGTGCGACAGGTAAGCTAGTTATTTAACAAAACTCTAATTTTGTACAAGCATATTGCGTTGAATTTTTGTCAAGTTTCACTATGAATTCTCCAAACAATCTAATGCTATTAAGTATCGTCACATGGAAATAATAGGAATTACATTCTATTAGTGAGAAGTTTAAATTCTTTACCAGGATCTCAAACCACCACATTTGAATCTATTTTATCATTTTTCAATAAACTATGAATTAAGATATTTGTCTAATTATGACAAAAAGTATTTTATATATAAACAAACACTAATATAAAATACTTTAAATCTAAATATCACTGTAGTTTCTTCATTGCAATTCTTCAATTTTTAAATGTGTAATTTGGAATTAAAAATCAACAATATTGCCATTTAATATCAAATTTAATAACTAGATTAATTAAATTAGTTATAGAAATAAAAAATAAAAAATAGAGAGCATGATGAGTGATATGTGTGATCACATGGTAATCTAAATTACACAAACATCCATAAACAAAGATTACAGATGTAGATTGCATAACTGTTAACATATCTGTCAGGCAAAGGTTCAGATATGTACAGTACCTGAAAACATAAACAAGGTTCTGGGAAAATTAAAGCAGAACCAAAGAAATCTGTAGTAGAAAAATAATATAGCAATAACTGCAAAAATGTTACAATAAAATGGAGTAGGATAATGGTTAAGACTACAGACACTAGTAGTAATTCAAACACAAATAATTATCGTATTTATCTTCAGGCACTTGGCAATACTCATCATCAAGTTTTATTCAGTCAAATTCAAACACAAATAATTATCGTATTTATCTTCAGGCACTTGGCAATACTCATCATCAAGTTTTATTCAGTTGATACGTGTTGTTATTACACACGTTTCGGGCATTTATTGCCCCTCTTCAGCCAACTAAAAACAAAAGTTCAACACTATAAAATTACAACAAACATATTAGGTATTGTTTTTCTAAAAGCATACCTTTTTAATTACAGGTTATCAAGATATTAAAAAACCACAAGTTTCATCGCTTATGTTTACTGGTTGTTACAAAAATTTCTTGGCGCTTAACACACTTTTATCTAAGAAAACATACGGTTTTTGTTATCTAAAATATTTTAAAACCTTATTTTTTATGTGGATTTTACATGACAAATTTACAATGAAGTACGTACCTAATTATTTGTTTTTCGCAGTTGTAAAATCTAAACACTTTAAAATTTTTCTTATACATTTACAACAATATTAAAATTGACATATTTGTCTTTCAAAATCATGCAATTTCCTCTTTTTGCAAACGATTGGGATGACCTCTCCTCCCCCTCTTGTTTCCCCCAGTTAAGCGTACCACTGGTTACTATGGTCATATGACTAGCAGGCCACCTTGTGGCAGTATTACTTTTTACATGAAATATTTTTTTTCCTAAAATGTCTTTTTTATACAAATTATTTCTTTTCAAGAAAATACCTCATTCTAAAAATCCTGTTTACATAAAATATTTCAAGAAATTACCTTCTACATAAATTATCGTTTCTGCAGATTATAAGATATTTAGCCAGTTTTCATTAATTTTAATACTTAGATTTTTGTTTATGCATTTTTTGCTTTTGAGAATTTCTACACTTTCTTTAAACTTTCTACTATATGTTTCTTTTTCTTTGTGGAGTATTTGTATATTATCTTTATCTATTGTACAATCATTCATAGTGCTATGATCATGGAAGGCGGAATTTAGTCTATTGTATTTCAGATCCGCTATATGTTCTTTTAATCTAGTTTTTAGCTTCCTTTTTGTTTCTCCTATGTAATATTTATTATTGCTACAAGTACAATGAATTTTATACACAACGTTCTTAGTTTCTGTTGGTGGTTGTTGTTTTTTCTCATTTTCGAATTGTTTTAATTTTGTATACATTTTTTGGTATGACGGTGCTAACTTAAAGTGCATATTGCTTATTTCATTATCAATTTGTTCGTGTAATCCTTTAATATATGGAAATCCAATATACTTAATGC